GGATTGAAGCGGTTCTGATTTCCTCATTAGTTTTACTACTTGTAATTCACCTTCTTCATAGAATCATCAAGGTAACTTTTCTAAAATACTTATTTTCATACCATTTTCCCACTTAAGGACCTACAATGTATTCTTACTGTATATTTGATAAAGTATAAATGCCTCTTTCCTATATGTAAAGCCTGATATCATTTGACCCTTCTTTGGTTATTAGTTTCCTTTACTAGTGCTTGGGTAGATCCTCCAATCTAGTGAGGCTATTTCCATTATCCCAGATTGCCCTGTTCACCACCTGCCCCAAAACACACACACACACACACACACACACACACACACACACGCACGCACAGAGTCACTCGCTCACTCACAAAAATACCAGTTTCCTCCTCTCTATTAGAGGAATAGAACCTTTTCCTCTTGGGATGTCCCTATGCTATTCAAAGTCCATCACATTAAAAGTGATTTCTTTAAAAATCATCTCCAAAACACTGTCTGTTATTAGGTTCATCCCACATTAAACTTCTAAATAATCTTGGAATATATAACCTTCTGTAGAATCTTGGAATCCTAGAGCAACTCATACCGACTTTATCACTGCCTCCCACAGCAGCCTTGAGAGATTCATTCTTCATTCTTCCTTCTGACCTGGTACTGGACCAGCACTCTGTGTTGGGCTATGGATGAAAGATGAAATAGTGCCTGCTTTCAAGAAGCTACTCTTTGTCAAATATGGGAGACAGTAACAGGTCAGTTACAAGGTAGGGAAAGTGAAGGGACAGAAGTCTATACAAGGCAGGGTGGTCACAGGGGAGAAGATGACTGACTTTGAGCAGTACAGAAGAGGAGGTGATCCTTGAGCTGTGTTTTGAGGGGTGAGGAGGAATTATGCAGGAGACATGTCAGAGCATTTCTAGCAAGGCAGCAGCATGGAATGGTCTTTCTCTTCCTGAATCTAACTAGTGTGCATCCTCTGAGCACCACACCACATCTGTTTGTTTGTATATCACCTGGAAACTAATCTTTTGCTTAACAAACATCTTAATTTCCTCCAAACAGAAGATGATTTTTTTTTTAAGGGGAAGGGTCATGTTTTCTGTTGCTTTTGTATCCTTCACATTGCCTCGTAGTACTAGTAGTATCGAGTGCAGAGTAGGCCTGCTTTGTGTTTTGTTTTAAGGCAAGGGGATGCTACAGACCCATTGTGATGATGGATTCGCCTGGTTTGTCCAGCATTCTGAATTCCAACTATTTATTCCTCCCTGCCTGTGTCACCTGTATCCACCCTTCTGTTTACCTTTGTGACCAACAGTGTGTTTATGTTATGGAAGAGCTGTGGAATGAAATAGAACTAATTGGGCTGATTGGGAATGGAAACTGTGGTCTTGAGCTTCCAGACTTCTGGTTTAAGCAAGTGAGTTAATCAGCCCATAGACGGGTGATACACACTTGTTTATGGAATGGTTTAAATGATCTCTTCATAATATCATAGATGTAAGTTACAATCATTCTGAGCTTGATAAATCATCACAGCAGAATTCTTTCATCAGTGATACTTAAGACGCTTAGATTCTTGAAACAGGTCTGCTTCTGCTCTGTAGCTCTACTCACCACTATCTCCCCTCAAAATATTTGGCTCTAGTGTGGCCGGCTAAAATAGACTAGAGTATTTGAGGATTGGTTTCTTGCGGGGGAACAGAGGTTTGTGGCAGTTTTTTTTTTTCCTTTTATGATGGAGGTGATAGATGCAGCAGCTCATTCATTGTCCCCTAATATCTGTTCTCCCTTCTTCCATGTTAAGAGAATCCCTGATTTTCAGCTGGGCATGTGGTTACCCTGAATAAATATCAATTTCCCACACTCTCTTGGCAGCTTTGGGCAATGTGACTAAATTCAGAGCAATAGGATGTGGGAGGGAGTAATGTAAGCAATTAGGGAGCATGCTCTCCCGTTCCTGATGTTTTCACCTTTCCACTGCCTGGAATGTGGCTGTGATGGTTACCTGTCCTGGACCTTGGGGATGAGGGCAACAACTTTAGGGTGGAAAAGCAGAAAGATAGAAAGGATCTGGGGCCCTGACTGGAGCTACCACATGAGCACTGGACTGCTGATGCTCAGACCTGTTGTGTCAAAGAGAAATAATTGTCTTGTTTAAGCTATGATTTAGGTCTCTGTTTCAGCAGCTCATTAGTACATAGGGAGATAAAAAAAAAATTATGAGGTTCAGTGTCAGCTGAGTGATATGAACAAGATGAGAAACATACTTTTAAAGATATTTAATAAGTCTTTTTTTCAAATCAGTACAAAAATTTAAATACAAAATTGATTTGCTATTGACAAGTCTCAAATCTATCATGGAAACTCAAAAAAGTTACCAGTCTATTCACCTTTCATGGTGTTCTGCAAAATATTTGAGAACAGTCACCCACTACAGACATTCTTTTCCTCTGTGGGATGTCATACTGCATTAAAACTCTGTGTTTAAATAACAATGCCAATTTTGTTCATTTCACATGGAAAAGTTCTGGTTGAATTTGAATTAAATAGGGATTATAGCTCTATCCCTAGATTTTCGAACATGTGGTTGTTTGTTTCATCTGCTTTTACACTAATGTGTTAACAGGATGTGCAACACTTAAAAGGGAAACACAAACACACAGATAATTATTTAAAACTCTTTTTTAAATTAAATGGAGTAATTCATTTAGTTCTGAGATTAGCACCATTGTAGAATACACAGTATTTGGCATAAATTTTGCTCCTCCCCTATCTAAAAGTTAGAAGCATATGCCTGATGATATACACACTCACACACATTTCATATATATATATATATTATATATATGTATATAATATATATATATATGCAATTGAGTAACAACCAATAAATAAGTTGGAAGGTATTTTAAAATGTGAAATTTGGTTTTACCTAAAGAGGTACTTTCTTACTTGGTGGAAAGAAAAAGCCCATACATGTACAGATAAATACGGATTTACAGATCAGCTGATTTGACTTGCTTCCAAGCCATTTCAATGCATCTGTTTAGCTGAAGGAGCCCAGTGGGTCCTTATTGCCTCCATAGTCATCAGTCCAAAACCAGCATCCTCAAGACCAACCTGAAGGGTATTTGGCCATAGAAACGCTGTCTGCTTTGAAAATGAAAGTTGGGTTGGATATCTTTTGATGGGAAAAGTTTGTCATATAATTAGCAGTGAATAAGAAACCCTCTGGTAATGAACTCATTTCTCTTTTTAAGAAATTGAGAAGAAATGGTGCTCGTTTACCATATACGGGAAAAGACACCTATTAGGTTGGGGAGGATTTTCTTGATGGTTAAAATGATTCAGATTTGACATAGACACATTTCCATGTGTGTTTATACCGTATTTATTTGTGTATTTTTCCATCTGTACCTTTCCCCTCAACTTCTCACTTTTAATTTTGAGGAAGAGATACAAGAGTCCACCACTATAACCCCACATTATATCCCCAATTCCTTATAGTGTCAGCGGCAGACTCATAGCTGACTGAAATATTTTGTCTGCGTTTTGAGACCAGATTTGAATGCCCGAAGCAGTTAATATGTACCTAAGTGAAAACCTGGAAAGACACTTATTTTTCTCTTTAAACTTGTATTGACCCTTGACTTGTGCTGAGTATGAGGTGAAAAAGAAGCATGGGCTCTTATTTGCCGTTTGACATTTCAGATAGCTGTTCCACAGGTTGCTTCTAAAGAAACAGTTTTTTTCCTACAACTTTCCTTTTCCTCCTAGTATCTACACTAGAAAATACTAAATCCATTTTTTTTAGTTTAAAACTTGAGAAATAATTTTTCAAAAAAATTATTTTCCTATGGAATTCTGAAACTTCTTTTCCTCCCCAAGTAAAAAATGACTTGGGTTTTGGAAATTGATTTTGGAACCTCAGACATACCAATTTGCATATATACAACACTGGGAAATTTCTTCAAAATTCAACAGCTACTGAGAAACACTTAAAGCTCCTTCATGGGTGAAACCTCATTGTAGTCATTTGTATGGGTAGGTAAGGAAGGGGGATTTTTATAGGCATGTAAGCAATGGAAAACTGATGATAATGAACATTCCACAAAACTGGAAAGTTACTATTTTTTTCTTATGACTTCCACGTGCTTATGTTGGTTGGATCATAGTGGAAGGAGGGAAGAAAAAAGAAAAAAAAATTACAGAAAATAAAACAAAAAGAACCCTTGAGAAGAAGGTGAATTAACTACTGCCCCTGTCTCCCAGCTGGTTGTTTAGCTTCTTTCGTGGCACTGTCTCATGTCCCTCAAACGTCTCATCCAGTGCAAGGCACAGAGGAGGCACTGAGTAAATTACACAGTGGTCGATTGGTTCACTTGTTCTTTTAGAGAGACAAGATAGACAATTCTGAGTAGGACTCATGCTGAGAAAAGATACAGCCTCTGACAGAAGGGAAATACCCCTTGGACTAAAACCCTACTGGTCCCCCCTGATTCCCTCCCGCTGGGGCTGTAACACAGCAGAACCCCTCACCCACATTCCATGGCAAAATATCTGCACAAATACAGAGGAAATTATGCAAGTAAATACGGTATGTAATTGTTATCAATGACATTTCTTTAAGCCATATTGATAAATCTTTAAACAGTATGAGCAAATGACTTTCATTAGCTATGATCTTTCATACTGAAATATTCTGAATGATCTGAATAAGCAGGTTATGGAAGCATATAACAATACAACAGCTAATATGATTCCAGTGGGTACAACACAAGTGTCAGTACTTGATACATAAATCTATCCCATCATTTTCAATTATAGGCTGCTGTGCAGAGCATTAAACATGCATCTTAGTTTTTATTTGTACACGATGGTTCAAATTTTCACTGAAATATAACTTTCCAACTATATAAATGTTTTGAAGCAATTACATTTTTCATTTGGATTTTTTCGGTGCATCATTTTTTTTTCTTCTGTTAAATCTCTCTTTCTTTTCTTTTTTACATGGGATACAATAAATATCCTGAAAAGGAGGAATGGACGTACTGCCCAGCATACAGTCCTGCGGCCTGTTCTGAGGGCATCTGGAGGAACACTCGGTCTCCGGGCCTGAGCAGCAGCACCGCACTTCCAGATGCCTGGTCCAGAAAGCCCTTTTTGTACTCATCATACGTGTACATCATGGGCTCATTGTTCTTGAACAGAGCAACCCACACGTTGCCCCCCTTGCAGTGAACGTGGTATGCAAAGTAGTAGACCCCAGGGACCTCGCAGGTGAAGATGCCCGTCTGTGGGTTGTAGTTCTGTCTGCCATTATAGAGCAGTTTGTCAAACTTCACTGGGGCCCCCACAGGTGGGAAGGGTGCAGTCAGCTCAGCTGTAAAGGCAGGCATCTCGTAGGCTGGCCCTCCATTCTTGCCTTTCTTAGCCCCATAGGCATGGGGGGGTTTCACTCCATCAATTCCCAGCCCCATGTCTGGCAGATACTCTCCATGGGGTGGTGGTGTAGGGGGCATCACAGCTGGGGGACCTGGGGGTCCTGGAGGGCCTGGGGGCCCTGGAAGGCCCGGCTGCCCTTGAGGACCAAGGGCACCAGGCTTCCCTGGGGGGCCATGAAGTCCTGCTACTCCAGGCTTCCCTACTCCAGGGAACCCAGGGGGCCCTGGGATGCCTGGTTCCCCTTTGGGGCCTGGCATTCCAGGTGGTCCAATGGGCCCACTAGGGCCCGCAATCCCTGGGATGCCTGGAGGACCCTGTAAACCCTGATCCCCTGGGATTCCTGGCTCTCCCTTTGGTCCAAGCAGCCCAGGAGCACCAGGGAGCCCCGGTAAACCTTTGAGCCCAGCTTCCCCCTTGGGCCCTATGGGACCTGGCAAACCCCTCATGCCAGGGGGCCCTACTTCACCAAGAAAACCTGGCTTTCCTGGGAAGCCTTGAAGCCCTGGCTCACCCTTGGGGCCTGGTGGCCCCTGTGGCCCTACAACCCCACCTTCTCCTTTGGGTCCGGGAAAACCAATAGCACCTGGAGGGCCCATAGGACCTGGGATTCCAGGCAGGCCTGGCTCTCCTGGGGGACCCCCCATTCCTGGGGCTCCTACTGGTCCTTTCTCCCCTCTTGGTCCCAGAGCCCCAGGCAGACCCCCTATGCCCTTGTCACCTTTGGGTCCTGGGAAGCCAGGTTTCCCAATCCCTGGAATGCCTGGGGGTCCTGGCAGCCCTGGCAGTCCTTGTTCCCCTTTCCCGCCTGGAAATCCTGGCTGGCCAGGGATCCCATCCTGGCCTGGTTTCCCAACTCCAGGCATCCCAGGAGGCCCTTGAACTCCTGGGACTCCAATAGGGCCTTGTGGACCAGGTTCGCCTGGAGGACCTGGCTTTCCCAGGGGGCCCTGGGGCCCAGGGAAGCCTGTAACTCCTGGTTTGCCGACTCCTGGAAGTCCAACAGGGCCAGGAGGGCCATGCATCCCTGGAGGACCCTTCAGGCCTGGCAGACCTGGCATCCCGAAGCCCTTCTCTCCTTTAGGACCCTGAAGGCCTGGAGGTCCTGGTGGTCCTTTGGGTCCTCGCTCACCCTTTGCACCTGGTTGCCCTGGTAATCCTGGCCCACCTGGTTTTCCAATGCCAGGAAGTCCATGGGGCCCTGGAGGTCCTTGTGGTCCTGGGATCCCCATTGGCCCGATCTCCCCTTTGGGTCCAATTTCACCTTTTGCTCCAGGCATTCCCATGGCTCCTGGCTTTCCTGGCATTCCGGGCATACCTGGTTTTCCAATTCCTGGATATCCCTGTGGCCCTGGCTTTCCTTTGGTTCCAGGTATCCCATGACCTGGTAAGCCAGGGGGCCCAGGTGGTCCTCTTGGGCCAGGCTCTCCACGCGGACCTTGCTCCCCTCGTAAACTTGCTAATGGTATTTCTATTGGGGGAGAGGGAATGGGAGTGGGGGCAAGGAGGGAAAAAAAAAGAGAAAGAAAAATTAGTATTTATTATTCCTTACTTAAGGAAGTCATGATGATCATTATTTAATTTTGACACCTTAGCCTATTACTTACTGAAAGGAGAGACTAGGAATAATGTGCTCATCTTCCGGGACTGTGTTATCCGTACTTAAAGGACAATCAGGCTGATAACTGTTTTGTCATGTTTGAAATACTGTTGAGAACTGATATCTGTAGCTGCTTTTATCAGCATTGGTTATATAAAAAAGCTAAAAAGTAATGAGGAAACATTTTTCCAAGTACAAAACTCCGAAGTTTTGAGATGGTGTGTTTGCTATGAAGATTTTGGAAAATTCAAAGAAGGATGAAGAAAAATCAAAGTTGCCTATAAGCCCACTACTCAAGAGATAATCACTTGACATTTATATGTATTTTCATCTCATGTATTCTAGGTGTGTGTATGTGTTAAACAGTGTTGGTGTTTTTATTTTTTTTATTATTTATTCTACCTAATGTATTTTTCCATGTCCTTGATTTTTTAATACATTTTATATATTAAATATATATTAATATATTTATATTTATATACTTATTTATATATAATTATATATTTATATGTATTTAATATATATTTAAATATATATTTTATGCTAAATAATATTTCCTATTAAATAATATTTTTGGCTAAATAATATTTTAATGTATCTTATATATTAAATACATATTTTGTGGCTAAATAATATTTCCTCTTGTGCTGAAAAGCAGTAGATGTGTTTAATGAAAGTAATTATCTTGTGGATTCAGGGAAGAATAGAAGCATTTTATCTTGTATGTGGTTTAATAACATCTTCCACGTCTGTCTCTAGAGCCAAATACATTTGCTTAATTCCTTTAATGTGCTATAGGATTTCCTGAGCCTCAAATATGAATTCTTTAATAAATTATTCCTCATTTGCAAATTAGGTTTCAAACAGGAGAAGTAAGGTACTTTAGGCTGACAAGCAGTGTGGAGAAGGAATTGAGCTGGGATTAGGGGCAGGAAGCTCTTCTTGGACTTGAAATGAGATCTGGACTGGGCCATTTAAGCCTTCACTGTCTCTGCTTGCCTCTCTGCAGCAAGGATAATATAGCCACACTACAACATTAGATAATAGATAATGAAAGATGTTATGCTTTCTCAGATTGTTATCAAAATACAAAGCACATGTTTGTTAGGATGATTATGCTGTGCCTTTCACGGCAATACAACTCTGGATCTTCTATGCTACTGAAATGAAACACAAAGAAATGAAATTTATGGCCTCAAAGTTTCATTTTAACAAATAGTCATATCTTAATCCTGACCATTATATTTTTCACTGAGCTACTGTCAGGGAACAAAATAGAACCATAGAACTTATATTCTTAGCAAATTCCCCAATTGCAATCTGGTACCCATCAGAATAAGAACAGGAAGTTCCACAAGCCAGGCAGGCCACTCAAGAAAGGAAGGAAAACAATCCTGATAATCCCTTAAGTGGGCTATCAGCTCCTAAAGAGAAGAAAATTGGGAATGCTTCTTTTACGCTAAGTAGATATTCTAGTGCTATTAAGACATATTATTTCTAAGCAGTGTGTAGCTACTATATCAAGAACTTCTGGGACAGGGTCATGTCTTACTCATCAGGAATCCTTGATGTCTAGCACAGTGCCTGAACATACTCTTCTTATCTAGAGTTTCTTGAATGACCAACTGTAGCAAGTCAGAAGTTTCTATGTTGTTTTGGTATTTACTTAGCATTTTACTTACCTTATGCCACTGATTTTTCTCAACAAATCTTACTTTACAGATGAAGAAAAGTAGTTTCAGAGAGGTTTTTTTTTTTTTTTTCATTGAGGTATAGTTGACATACAATATTATATTATTTTCAGGTCTCTCATTTCTGGCCTCTAGGCCTCTTAGCACCAAATCCAGTCGTACCCCAGAAGTAGAGCTTCCTGCTTTTGCAGGGACCAGTAGGAATGGCCTCCACTTTCTCAAAGGGAATTGCTATGCCGATGCAGTTCCTTTCCTATAAATGCTAGGTTTCCTCAGAATCCAGATAAAACAACTGAAATTTTAAGAAAGTGTCTCTCACAGTGCTAAGCATGTTGTAGGTGCTGAATAACTAATGAATATGGCTGGAAAGCAATGGGAAAAATGTTAATCTGTCATGCAGTCCTTACCTTTTATAGTCTCCTTTTATCAGTTTATTAACAGGTGTAGTAGCTTAATTCAAGCACTCTTAAAAACAGTGACATTTATCCAGCTCCTAGATCGCAAAATGCTTTCAAATATATGTATTTTTAACACAGTAGGTCCTTACAACATTGGTGTCCCAATTCAGAAGACTGACTTATCACCTTTTTTTCCCCCATTGCTTTAATCCCCCCAGCATCTGGCCCAGAGTCTGACACAAAAATAGATGCTCATGAAATAGTTGCCAAATGTTTGAACAGATAATGAGTAAGAGAATAAATTATTTGTTATTAAATATGTTTTGTGCCATTTAATGCTATTAAAATAAAGCACAACAGAAAACTAATTTTGTCTGTATTTTTGGGTCTTGAACTTTTTGAGGATAGAGTTTAGAACACAGTGAACACTTAATGAATATCAGTAATACATTCAAGAATAAAAATTTATAAAATGTAGCTTTTCCCCTGATCTCATAGTTGAGGATTTTGGAAAGCTGCCATTTCATAACAGCACAGGAATGTGATGTTACCTTTGCCTTTCTTAGGTGCTGCTTCCTTGCCCATTCTTGGCACTGGCTGAATTTCCTTCATATATTGGGGTAGATGTGGATATTCTTTGCCATACTGCATGTGGGGCAGCTCCTTGCCCATGGTGAGGCCATCTTTGCCCAAAGGCATGTGAGGTACTTGCTGGCCCAGAGGCTGGTATTGTGGAATTTGTGGTGGGATCTGAGGAGGAATTTGTGGTGGCAGCGGCTTGATCCCATAGTAAGCACCAGCCTGAATGAACCTGATGGAGCCCAGGGAAATGGTAAGCAGCACTCCCAGCAGCTGCAGAGGGCCAGGTGGCACAGCCATCACCTGTGGAAGGAAGGAATGCACCAACATGGTGAAAGCCTTACAGGCCAATAGACACGTCTATTTAGAGAAAGAAGGGGGAGAAGAAGGAAACAGTCTTTATCAGCAGAACATCACCAGTGGAAGATACATGAAAAGGAAGAAGATGGTGCCTTTTCAGGAGAAAACAAGCAAAAAACAGAAAAGAGTAGGAACTGTCAAATGAAGGCAGTTGGTGGGATTATAAGCTCTGGGAAATATCAATTCTGCCTTCTTCCATGGTACTGGAACCCTTGATTTTTAGCTGGAACGAAACAGCCCAGAATAAAGACATTTCAGCCAAGTGTGGCCATGTGACAAATGGATGTGGTTGTAATGGGTACAAGTTCCAAGAAGGACCCTGAAAGAGAGTGGCCCTGTTCCTCTTCCTCCTTCCTGCTGGCTGAAATGTGGATACATTTGCCTGGAAGCAGAGCAGACATCTGGGACCAGAAGTGAAATCCGTGCACTGAGCATGGTGGAGCAACAAGCTAGAACAGACCTCAGCCTTGGCTGAACAAGAAGGTCCCATATTAATCCTTAAATTTAGAATTTGTTTACACAAGGAAGAGCTAAAGGTTTATCCTCTTTAAATCATTATTCTTTTTAGTATCACATTTGCACTAAATCCTAATGGATTGAGTAGGTTGTCCAAAAGGAGGCAAACTTGGTGGCCAGTCAGGCTTTGTTAGTATGTGCCAAAATTCCATTCTAAGTGGAAATGGTAAGTAATTGATAGGCTCTATGCCAGGGACTGAGATTTTTCATCTGCCCTTTAGCTGCTTTGGTGTGGTCACAAATAAATGTAAAAGTTGAAGAGCAAGCAGACAACAACAATGCAAACCACAGAAGTCTTCTGAATTGGAAAGAAAGTACAATATGACAGTCCCAAAATGCCATTGTAATATTTAAATACCGTAAAGTCATTAGTTTAGAACCTGCTCATTTGGACCGGGAGTCCATTGAAGTTTATCTTGTACTATTATGAAGGAAAGGCGTTTACAAAGCAAATTAGTTGCATAAAATAGGGTTGTGTAACTACTCACATGAATAAACTGTACAAGCCCTTAAACTGTACAAGCCCTTTAATAGTACCCTTTGCAATTTGACATTTAACAGAATAAATGCAAATGGGGCTTATAGGTTTATAAAAACCAACTCAAAAAGACCTCTGGAAATGCCCAGGGCTGAAGACCCAGAAGCCCAGGGAACTGCAGTGCTCACAAAAGCCCACTAGAGGACAACTGTGGTACACACTGAAGTCTGTTCTCCCTGGTACTGACAGGACATAATAAGGCGCTCCCCACACGTTATTAAAGGGCTTGAAAATCTGAATCCTAAGTGGAGTGTCATCATTATGCTGGAGAAAGAAGTGGCAAGGTTCTCACAATTTTTAATGTCAGAATATTCTGAAGAACTTTGAATAAACTATCTCTAAATAATTTAATTTCCAATCTCCTGCGAGTTTGTTTTCTTTGCTTCTGCCTTAATTCTGGATCACAGTTTTCCACTTAGAAAATATGTGTTGACTTTGCGACATCCTATTCAAGAGGGATGCCAAGAGTGTGAACAGGCTACAGGAGAATTGGTTAATAAAAAGCACCTAAGAAAATATTTAATGGAATATCTACCACAAAATTCACTGCTTTATAATTTTTCTAAATATACTAACCATATTTTCCCCAAAACATCTGTCAGTAAAATGATTTTTAAAACTTTCTCCATTTCATAAATCAGAATAGTCTCAAGAACTATTTGATTCAAGTGTATTCTACATAGTACATGTGCTGGTAAATGGGAGAAGATAGAATGCTGTTATTTTCTGTCTTCCTAAGAAGGATTATTATAAACCATTTGGAAAGAGCCACAAAATTGGTATTGATTTATACTCAGTAGTCCATTTTATTTATTTTTTTGAAAAGTTTATTTTGAGAGAGCGCGCATGAACAGGGGAGTGGCAGAGAGGGAGAGAGAATCTCAGCTCAGAGCCTGATGTGGGATCAAACACACTGTGAGATCATTACCTGAGCCAAAATCAGGAGTTGGGACACTTAACTGAGCCACCCACGTGCCCCTATGGTCCATTTTTATCTTAGATGGGAAAAGAACATCTGTTGTAAGTACTCAATGATAATTTATTGACTACTCATCAAACACAATGCTAGACTCAGCTAGGGATTATAAAGATAAATATAATATGGTCAATGGGCCCTGCCCCCACAGAGCTTATACTTTTTTTAGTAGGGATTGACAGCAGAAAAAAGTGTATTTCCCATCCTCTTCTGTTCTCCAGTATCTTTAATCCTTTCCCCTTGAAGCAACAACTTTTCCCATTTTCCTCATATGTTTCCAGAGGTATTCTAAGAATATGCACATATAATACATATTCCTTTAAGACACAAATTACAACGTACTATACAAACCACCATTCCTTACTTTGTTCACTCAGAAGACCAGAGCTTAAGACCTTATTTCTCATTTTAGTTTTGTGTATCTGAACAGATCTCTTCAGGTTCTTTATTTGTTAAAAATAAGACTCAATTGTTCTCTAGAGTCCTTAACATTCAGGGTTTAAGGCAGTCACCAGAGAGCTGGAAGTATTAATCTATACCAGAAATACATGGTAATACCTGGTAATGTATGAGCTGGGACTGAATTCTATCTTTGGGGATGAATGAATTTAATTACTAAACCCTAAACTTGTGGTGATATCTTTAATAATAAGCTAGCATACTTGGCCCTTCACCCTTCCATCAATTCAGTGAATGTGTTGGATTATACTTAATAATTTTTAAACCAGGACAATCTAACGAAACATTGGAAAACTGGAAGGAAGCAAAATGCCTGGAAGAAGACCAGTTGAATACCAAAGGCCCAGTGGGATCCTACTTTACTACAATTATTTCCTCTTGTAGTCTTGGCCTTTCCTGAAAACCACCTCCTTAGGTCTGCCATCTGCCATTTCTCTGGCTCTTTTTTTAAATAAACTTTGTTCAGTTTTAACTTGAATATTTATGTAGGGGCCCTGGTTAGAATTTACCGCTTGACTTACCCTTACTGATTTCCCTCTTGTCCCTGAGGATAGTTTTGGTGGTCAAAGTGGTGTGGTGGTTCTCCCCAAATCACTCAAAAGAACATCAGATTTGTGTAACACTATACAAACACCTGGTGGGAGGAAGGAGCCTTGGAATTTCTACTGGGAAAAAAATGGTGGTAATGGATTTTCTTGCTCCCCCCCCTTTTTTTTACCCCCCCCCCACCGAGGACGCAAGATACAATAATGTTGTGAATTCTAGTTGATGTTTTCTTAGATTTATACTTGATAACTGGTATGTGTGTGTTCGTGTGTGTGCACGTGTGCACGAGTATACGTGAACACCAACGTATATAATGTGTGCAGACAGTGGATCTTTGCCAGTCAGACCAACTTAGTGATGGGTTTCATGCCCTGTAGAAGACCAAGTTGAGTTGTAGCTATACCATTCCCCATGTCTATGACTTTGGGTAAGTGCCTTATCTTCACTAGGTCTTAGTTTCCTTACCTATAAAACAGCAACTATAAAAAATAAATTATAATCTTGGCCTCTCCCACAGAGCTGTTTGAGGGCACAAATGATAGTAGGAATTTTTTTGTAAGCTGAAAAGCACCATTCAAATTTAAGTTATTATTAATGGAGTGTGACCAAAAAGACAAATCAAAACCAACTGAAATGTCAAAGAGTTTCAAAGAAAGATACTAGCCAAAATAAATGTGAGGTTAACTGCAGTAATGATAAACCTAACATGAATAAAACAATAATGGCCATTAAAATATACTTGTTAAAAAAGGGCAAAAAAAAAAAAAAAAAAAAAAAAAAAAAAAAAAAAAAAAGGAAAGAACAGCTGAACCAAGGCAGTTATTCATTCTGGTGTCAGAGTTGCCAATCCTAATCATTTTGTATAGTTCTAAATGGTTCCCTATATTTGGGAAGGGCTGCGGAGAATTTCAGTTTCCTCATGTGACCTGTGATGTATATAACAGAATAATGTGATATATATTATTTTAAATGCCCCTCAGCATTTTCTCTTTGTATTTATCCCCGTGAGATTTTTGGCTTGCTGTGCAAAAGAATGTTTAAGTATTTAAACCTTCAGTCCTTGCCCTAAATCCAACTTTCACTTTCACATGAGGCTAACACAACACACGCAAGTGTGTGTGTGTGGTGGTGGTGGTGGTGGTGGTGGTGGTCAAGCCTCTTTCATCTGCTCCTGGGTAGTCCCTCCCACAGGAGCTATAGTTTCTCAAGGCCTCAGATATATCACCCCTGAAGCAAGGGGAAGTCAGGCAGAATCCTACTCCTGTGATATTTACCAGAATTGTCTTCTTGGCTTTCCCATGCCTCTCGAAGAAGGTTCTCTTCTGATTACACTTCTCAGAGAAATTCATTCATTAGGTATAGTTATTTAAGGAGTGCCTATTAAATGTTACAAACTGGGTACTGGTGAGAGGAGTGAAACAAATGAGGTTCTAGATCTTATTGAACCACTTTCTAGTGTGGGAGGCAGGCAATAATAAACAAGTTAAAAATAAATTTTATAATTTCAGATTTGAGTACCATGAAGAAAACCAAGCAGGGTGAAGAGCTTGAGAATGCCTTGGGGTAGAAGACACTGTTCTGGAAAGAGTGGTGGGTAAAACATCTCTGGGGAAATAAATTTTGGATAGAGATGTGAAAGTTGAAAGGCTTACTTGTCTCTCTTAAGACACAACATACACACACACACACACACACAGTCTTTCTTATCACACTGGTAGTTATAGGTGCCTTTCACTAATGTAAACCATTGTTTCAGAACTTTACTCCTCATCTGTGTCTATCTTCATTTTCACATCTTCATTGTATTCTTTTTATTCTAAGGGTTTCTTCTTTTTGATCCTCCACATTTTAACCCTACTGTATTAGTTTGCTAGGGCTGCCATAACCAAGTATCTTAGACCAAGT